AAAGTCGTTCAAATTCTTACGAACTTCGCCGCGCAATTTGCCGCGCGTATCCTCGGACGCACGTTCGTACACATACCCACTTTTTACTACACATGACGGCAGTGGAAGGCAGTTGCAGCCATTTTTGACTTGATGTAGTTAGCTCTTTCCGCAATCGTAACATTGAAACCCCGTCTGAATCCCTATCCATGTAATTTCCAACATGACAATCTTGTAGAACTTCTTTTTTATTGTTTTAGAAAGCCTTATTTTTATGTAGGCGAATTTTTCAGCGTTCTTCGCTGGCAATGCACTTTGTGTGGATACTACCTCTCTACAACGTAGGAAAGGTACCGCAGAATTATCGTAAACTGTGTCTTTAGTAGCCTTCTGCACTGTCACTGCTGGAATCACAGGATGTTCTACGATGTCCTTCCGCCTCTTGAATATGTTTCAACTGAATAAGCTTCACTTTTTCAAAGATATTATGGGTCTTACTCTGGCAACTAGGCATTTTGCAAGAAGAAAGCGAATGGAGTGAAATCACTAAATTATTTTAGCCTCGGCAGTTTTCTAAATTTGGCGCTCATAGTTTTTAAAATCCTGTACTTCAGCATTTGGTTTAATTTCAAGTTGATACCTCACTTCTTTTTCAAAAATAGTTGATCGGCACTATTTACCCTTTACTGCCCCACTTTGTAGAGAATGGGCTGGATTACTTTTTCGATTTCGAATTCTTTTTCAAAAGGATGAAACCGACTAGAAACTTCCCTAGAGAGGTGATTTGACCCGTAGAACACGAACGTCGCATCCATTCGTCATGAAAACTTCGTGATTCGTACTTAGGGGCAGATTTTCAGCAAGATATGTGACCAAGCTCTACTTGGCGCTGGCGCCTGTGGCGGGAGCGCTAGGCATCTTTATGACGAGTGGATGCGATATTCGTGTTTTAGGGGTCAAACTACCCCTCTAGGCGAGTTTCATCTTCCTAAAAAGAATTCGATAGAGATCCAGCCCATTTTCGACAAAGTGGGGCAGTAAAGGGTAAATAGTGCCATTTACCGCCCCAAATAGTTTGCTGGTAAGGTAAGACTTAAACATGGACTTGTTATGTAATACGAGGGTGCGGCGAAGACGCTGTATGAATCTACATCGCCTCTGCCCAACCCTCAAATAGGTAAAAAAATGAATGAATGCATTGGACTACAGTTGAACAACCACTGGGAAAGAACTTGTATTTGTTCGTTGTTGTTCAAAACTGGAAAAATACAGACGTTGATTTGGTTTTAGTATACTGATAAACAAATGGATTACTTGAATAATTAGCTATTCATGAAGGGTTGAAGGACAGAATAAAATGGCTGGAAACATTCAGCAAGTCACATTCCTGGTGACAATGTTCCCCCTACACATTGTTTTCGTTTTGCTTAGTGAGTTCCTCTGAAGTTTTACATCCATATTAATGGCATCAGCCTGTCAATAGCTATAAATTGATGGCTTTCCCCATTTTTTTTCGTTTTCAGCCATCACTCTGGCAATGGAAATGCGAAATGGAACAAATGGAACAGGTAAGAATTTACGCGCGTTACAGTTCGTACCGATGCCCTTACCTCGGGAAGCTGCAGGACGTAGTGAAGCATCCCGAGATATAGCAAAGCAGGTACAGGCACGGTAGAATCAGTAGCGTCGAATTGTAAGATGATACCTTAGATAAGGCTAATACAGTAGGAGCCCTGCTCCTCAATGGTTGGCCACTTCAACCCGTTGTAGGTGCGACGCAGTGCAGACATAGCAACTCGAACGAGACCTCCTTAGATCTTTAACAAGCCTCTGTACAGCTGCTACATACAAATTACTGCTTGTACCTACTTTGTAAGGGAAATACCCCCTGTAAGGCAAATCCATTTCTGTGAGACGCAAAGGCTACTTGAAGGCATTTTGAGAGAGCTCATAAAGGATATTCAAAACTATTTCATTTTCAGCTGGTACCGGTAATGGTACCATGAACGCTGGTTGTGTGAATGGAACCATGACCGGCGGTCGAAACGGTACCATGTACGGAGCTGGCAACGGAACAATGTCAGGCGGTGGAAACGGAACCATGTATGGCAGCGGAAATGGGACCATGTCATGTGGTAATGGAACAATGACGGGAGGTAGCACAAACACAACACAGGGTGGTGGCAGAAACGCAACACAAACTGGTGGAGGTGGAAATGGGACCAGAGGTGAGAAAGATGAAACCTGAAAGCAGGGAACGGCGTTAGGAAACCCTTTTTCGGATACGTTTCGTGGTCCTATATGGAATAAGGGCTTCATAACGTCGTTCTGTGCTCCTAATCGGCAGTGCTTATTGATAGTCAGGATGAGAAAGGGGTCGTGTTACGCGTGCCCTCAGTCGCAGGTGCAGATGAAAAATTTGTGATCATATTAAATCAGGTATCAGTATGGTTTTGTTTCAGGAAATAGAAGTCTCGGCATGGTCGAAAACCAGTATCCGTTCCCTCCTTACTACTATTATGGGTACTACTACTATTAGTAAACATCTCTTTCCGGAGATGTGAATTTAAGCCTCACGCCTCATGTTTCATATAAATTTCTGTATTTCCGCTTGATAAAATACTACTCTGATGAGATGTTGTTGTTTTCGAAGATTGACTGGAATGAGCCCTACCTTCATGCCATATAAGATTCTCTTGTGAAATATGAAATTTATTTCGTTCACATATACATATTTAACGACAAAATCCAGTTAAGATCCACTCTACGGAGAACATATATCGATCAACAGGAAAACAAAACAAAACAAAACAACTTTTTGAAAAACAAAAAAGGAAGGGTAAAGTCCTTGCCGTCAATCGATCCAATTTCTTGGAGGCTCCCTTGCAGTCAACTTTCATTGAGAGTGAAATAAGTGATGTATCGAATTCGCGACTCTGTACCGATACTCACCTAAGAGAGACGGAAGGTTTGGCTGGTCTAAGCGAGTTATGATTCAAGATAATCCTGGAAAACGGGTGTGTGATGGTGAGCTCTTTGCCACTACACCACCTCCACTAAGGCTTTACTGTAGAAACGAGCAAACGCATAGTGTTGAGAGAAGATACGTAGGGCGTGCAGTCTGAAGCTAAAGCAAATTCAGGGCAGAGAGCGGAAACAAAGAGAAGGTCCGTTATGAACTTGCTAGGAATCATCTCAGACGCGACAGTCTGGAACAGCAAGAAAATCTAATGAAAATTTTGGGATGAGAAAATGATGGTGGAACCTCACAGAGCAACGCGTCCTTTCTATAAGATACTACAGGGTGGGCCAAAATTATGATTACACAGAAACCAAATCGCAGAAAACGAATAGAAAGCCAATAGAGCAAACCAATTTCATTAAAGGGTTGATCACAAATTTCTTATCAAAACTGTACATTGAAACTGGGATCTGTTGCTTTCTGCTATCACCCAACCCCAAAGACGACGGTGGACGGCACTGACGGTGGCACGCAGCATCGAAATGGTCCCGGTTTTTTGCTAAGCATTTTCGAGATTATTTCTTCTCTTGTTTGAGCTAAAGGATGCTTTCATCTCAGAGGCCGACCACATTGAGACATTAATGGGATTTAGGTCA